AAAAAAAAAAAAAAACGAAGCAGTCTCGGCCGAGTCCAAGGCAGGGCTGCGTGACCCGGGGTGCACAGGCTCAAGACACACGTGCAACGCTGCGCGCCGCGCTGTTACCAGGCCGCTTCCCCGCGCGGATGGGCCCTCCTCCGCGCAGCAAGACCAAGACACGATTCCAGACAGCAGGGTCCCAGTCAGGCCTGGAATAAGGTTTCTCGGCACGACCTCGCTGGGTCTCAACTAACAGCAGCGGTTTCTTACAGGTTCCCAGGGTCAGGAACCAAGCGGAGGCCGGGGGCAGCAGCTCTGGGCTGGTTACCACGTTCCCCAGCCCCTGCTCCCCCGGTGACCCCGCTGTCCCCGCTGTCCCCGAGCGCCCCAGGCCCCCGGGTCCGGCTTGCAGCCAACAAGCGCGAGCAGGGCGGGCAGCACGGGCAGCACCACCCCGGCCTCCCAGCCAAGATCGCCAAGGGACCCGGAAAGGCTCGCCTGCGGCGAACTGGAGACAGTAACACTCCAGTGTTCTCTGCACGACCCCAGAACCTAGTGAACGTCTCCCCAAGATAAAAGCCCTCCCTACTCGCCCAACCGGGAAGGCCCCAGTTGAGCCACAGTGCGCGAGTCGAGCGCAGAAGCCTTACCTGACGCGCGGGCGGGGATGCGCATGCGCGGGGATGAGCGGCGCTCCGCCCCTCCCGCCGGCTTAATTAACCATTTAGTGGGCACTGACTCGGAGCCCCGCCGACTGTGGCCTACACACGTTAGTTTAGTTAATCCTCACAATTTACCTACAAAATAGGTGCTGTGAGTAAACCACTTTAAGCGAGGAGGAGGCTTGGCGTCTGTGGCTCAAGTGGCTAAGGAGCCAGCCACATACACCTAAGGTGGAGGGTTCGAATCCAGCCTGGAGGGTAAACAACAATGAGGGCTGCAACCAAAAAAAAAAATAGCCCGGCGTTGTGGCGGGTGCCTGTGGTCCCAGCTACTTGGGAGGCTGAGGCAGGAGACCTGCCCAAGAGTTGGAGGTTGCTGTTAGCTGTGATGCCACGGTACTCTACCCAGGGGGACAGCTTGAGGCTCTGTCTCAAAAAAAAAAAAAAAAAAGAGAGGACGAGCAGGGGTGCGGCCTTTGGCTCTGTAGGTAAGGCGCTGGCCCCATATACCAAGGGTGGTGGGTTCAAATCCTTCCCCAGCCAAATTGCAACAACAACAACAAAAATAAATTGTCATTTGATCTTTGATAAGCCTATCAAAAATAAAAATTGGGGGAAAGATTCCCTGTTTAACAAATGGTGCTGGGAGAATTGGCTGGCGACTTAACCAGTGTGATGTAAGTGTTCCTAACTCTATATGCAATCAGCACGTTGTACCCCATAAATGCATTAATGTATACATGATCTATGTGTTTATGATTTAATAAAAAAAGAGAGAGAGAGACAGGAAGGACAAGCACAGACAGCTAGCGAAAGAGACAGACCTTGGGTTTGAACCCAGAATGCTGATGATCAAGCCTGTGCTGGATTGTCTTTCTACACCCCACAACCCAAAGTGTGAGCCTCAGAGCATGACCGACTCAGGCATAACCTGAAAACTTGCTAGCTCTGCAGACCTACTGAATCAGAATCTGCATTTTAGCCAAATCCCTAGACAATCAGTTTGTGAATTAACATTGAGAAGCACTGCCTGTGCTGCCCACTAGGTAAGCCCAGCAAGAGGAGAATGACCAAAAGGGCAGGAGAGGGAGGAGAAAGGGAGATAAAGGTCTATCCCGGTGCCTCGGTGCCTCGTGCAAGACAAAGCCTAGAATACCCAAACAGGCACAGATCTACCTTCACTGAAGTTCCAGTCTGGGGAGTGGGGAGTGGATAGTGTGTAAATGTATCCACAAACTACTGATGGAGAGTAACACTGAAGGATCCGTGAATGTTTTAGAGAAGGGGTGATAGAGCTGACTTTGCCAAAGCCAGGAAAAGAAAGTGCCTCTGTCGGGCGCTCAGTGACCACCCCAATTTTCATATCCCGCCCACCCCCATAGTCCAGGCTATGTGTTCGTTTACACAACTAACCTATTAAAATTTGAGAAATGTGGAGGCAAAGACCATATGCATTTAAAGCATGTCATTAGTCAAGACGGCTCAGATCTACACAGATCCAGTACCCCAAACAATCTCTTCCACTATATCAATTCCGCCAGAGCCTCTTAAAGTTTGGGCTTTGTACATTGGCTCTATAAAAACTGTCTCTGCTTGAACCTCCATTCTGTTTAATATTATATATTTGACTTCCTGTCAGACTTTTCTCATACAGTCTCATCCTGCACCATGTTGCTTTTTATTTGTTATTGTTTTTGCTGTCATAACTTTTTTCTCAAAACTTTTCAGAACTCTATCCCCGGGCATCACCTACACCAGGGTCCCCTTTCCATCCAACTGGGACACCCACAGTCTTTTTATTTCATTTTTCCTTTTTTTTATTTTCTGCTAAGACTAGTCAAGCACAGTAGTAAGAAGGGGAAAATGAGTAAAACATGCACAGTCTTTAAAAATGTATTCCCAGGGCAGCACCTGTGGCTCAGTGAGTAGGGCACTGGCCCCATAGACCAAGGTTTGAACCCAGCCCCGACCAAACTGCAACAAAAAAATAGCCAGGCATTGTGGTGGGCACCTATCGTTCCAGGCACTCGGGAGGCTGAGGCAAGAGAATCGCCTAAGTCAAAGAGCTGGAGGTTGCTGTGAGCTGTGATGCCACAGCACTCCAAGGGCAACAAAGTGAGACTCGGTCTCAAAAAATATATATATATTCCCATTCAAAGATTCACCCATAATAAATACTTTTCATATTAAAAGCAACCACCATGCTTTCCATTAAACATTTTATAAATTATCAGTCAAGACTGTGGTTCCCACCCCCCACGCTGCAGACTGGTTGGTGCCTTCTTAGGAAGCAAGCTGCCCACAGGTGAGCAGTGAGCCAGGTAGCAGAGCTTCAGCCGTATTTACAGCTGCTCCCCATCACTGCATCACTGCCTGAGCTCCACCTCCTGTCACTCCCCAGCAGCATTAGTCTCACAGGAGCTCAAACCCATCTGAAGGATGTAGGCTGTGTGCTTCTTATGAGAATCTAATGCACTTGCCCCACCCCATCTGTGGAAAAATTGTCTTCTGTGAAACCAGTCCTTGGTGGCCAAAAGGTTAGGGACTGCTTAGTTAAGACACTATTCTGTGTCTCGAGCTTCCAGACCTGTCTTTGTTCACTCAGAATGCTATAACAAAATGTCAAAACCTGGTTATTTATAATCTACAGAAATGTATTTCCCATAGTTCTGACAGATAAGAAGCCCCAAATCAGGGCAGAAGCAGATTTGGTGTCTGGTTAGAGCCAGCTTCCAGGTTTCTGAGATGGTGCCTTCTTCCTGTGTCCTCACGGTGGAAGGGGTGGAGATCTCTCTCTCTGGGGTCTCTTTTATAAGGGCACTAATCCCATTTATGAGGATGCTCACTCATGACCTAGTCACCTCCTAATACCAACACCCTGGGAATTTCACCATATGGAATATAAATTTGGGGAGGACTCAGATATTTAGACTGTAGCGAGGCTCTTGTTTACATTAGTTTGAAATACCTGAGCATCAGTGTTAAAAGTACCAATATGACAAAGCAAAATGAAAAGGTCATTGGAATGGTTGAGAATGAAAAAAATTTCTAAAAACTTTTAAAATGTGGATAACAAAGATGGAAAAAATCATCTAGAAATGTAACTATTTCTGCTAGAGAGTAAACATAGAGTAGATTATTAGTCAAAGAGGGAATTTTCTAGTATTGCAGAAAACTTGACATGTTCATACGTATTTTTTCCATATCCTAGTCCCCACTATAGATTTCACAAACACATTTTAAGGCAAGGTACATTTGGCCATAAGATTTAGGCCGAGGGCTAAAAGGGTCGGCTCTAGTAGGAACTCTTATTCTGTTCTTTGGGGGCAGTGCATTTCTGGCCCCAGTCTTCTGTAGTGGCCATAGGTGAAAAGGCTCTCCGTATTAACAAGTGTAAAAGTTTGCTGTCTCTTCTTTCATTCCATCTCAAAGAAAGGGGAGTTAGTCAACCTGGCAGGAATTCTCAAGGCAAAGCTCTTTCATTTCCCTGACATGAGACAGTGGAAATTAGTCTCTAATGAGCCTTTGCTGCTAGATGTTACTAGTCAGTGGGGGCCAAGGTCTTGGAAATGGCTGAGCCTCCCTGCAGAAGACCACAGTACACAGGGCAGTGTAGAGCCATGGGCTCTGTCCCTGAAGAAGGGATGATGTAGGCAACATAGGACTCACTCCTGTTGTCCCAGTGGCCAGGCACTGTGACTAGCATTATAACAAAGTGCTCCTCTACCACCTTCATTTTAGAAAGTGAGGGGGCTCAGGACATACCACCCTAAAACATGGCACCTTGGCATTTGAGAAAACACCAGAAGCAGGAAGGTCACTCTCACCTTCCCGCCACCCCCTATCTGCCCTTGTCCCCTGGAGCAGGTCATAAAACCTGGGGAGGATTTTCTGACCTCCCTTAAAGCTGGTGGGTCATAAGCGCTCATTCAAGAGCTGCTCTCCATGGACCTGTAGAAAAGGAGCATTCTTCTCTCTGAAGACACAGAGTCACAGAAAAGACTTGGAACAAAGGCCTTGCTAAATTTCTCTGGAGAGATTCCAAGGTAAATTTTAATCCTGAACCACACTGGGAAGTTGCACATCTCTTGGAAAGAAAAAGCACAACTTCATCCTGAAGGGGGCCTGCTAGGTAGGAAGGAAAACAGATTAGGAGGGGCTGAGTCACCTGCTCTCCAAACCATCCCTGTGGCTTGCAGGCTCACAGGCGTCCTGTGCTACTTAACCGATTTCAAACACCCTAGATATTTTTGTTTAATGTTTTCTCTTTCTCTCTCTCTTTCTTCTTTTTTTTTGGGTGGGGGGTGCACGGTTGTCCCTAGCCTAAAAAAAGGAAAGAGGGCAAGAGGAATGATTTCTTTAATTCCAAGGAAAGGAACTTTGAATAAGCATCCCTTGCAGCTGCCCCCAGGCAGGAGCCAGGACACAGCTGGCGAAGTCTAAGAGGTCTGCAACCATTTATCCCCAAAGTAGGGAAGGTTCAGGAGCAGAACAGGAAGCTGGGGCTTTTCACATAACATGTGACCCACCTGCACTCATCCATAGGATGGGCAAATATACCACACAATATGTGTTAATTTTGCAACTATTTATTCTGTGCCCCACCCCATCATGCATGCCAGACAATTAAGAGTTGAGTATGTCAAACTATAAGGTTAATAGGTTGACTTAAGCCTTGGAAGACTAATAAGAATCAGAGCTCACATTACCAATCCCAGAGAGCCTGACAAATCCTCCTATAATTACAGGCATTAGTGTCAGAGCAGGACCCAGCCCGCTGTCTTTTTAAATGTTTTACTCCCAAAAGCTAGTAAACAACAACCATGTTTGGATTAATGTTGTAAATTCTACCTTACCCAAGGGAAACAAAGACTCTCTATAATCTTAGAGGGGATTATCCCACTAAACTGATTGGCAGAGAATCCAGTCCTACTCTTCTTTTTTTTGAAAGGGAGATTCTTAAATACACCTTCCCAGCTACAGTGAATGTCATTTCATCATTATGTAAGGTAATAGGTCTTCAAATGGGAGGGGTATATGAAAACAAGAAAGTATTAGGATACTCAGATATTGTGATTTTTTCTTTCACAAACCAGTTTTATTGAATTTTTAAAAATAAATATTGATAAATATAACCAATCCCAGATACCTGTTTCTAGCCTAGAACCCTCTCTGGTCAGTTTTTTCCCTTCTGTAAAATGGTATCATAAAAAGCTGCTTTCAGCCAGGTGTCATACCTGTAATCCCAGCTTATTGGGAAATTGAAGCAGGGAGGATTGCTTGAGGCCAGGAGGCTAAGAGACCAGCCTGGGCAACATAACGAGGCCCTGTCTCTCCAGAAAATTTAAAAATTAGCCAGTTATGGTGGTACACACCTGTAGTCCCAGCTACTCGGGAGGCTGAGCAAGAGGATCACTCAAGCCCAGGAGTTTGAGGTGGCTGTAGCTGTGATGCCACCACTGCACTCCAGCCTGGGCAGCACAGCTAGTCTTTCACATCCACTGCCTGCCTCAGTAAAATACTTTCTGTTAACATAGAAAATTCTGTCAATTCTAAGACGTATGTTTCAACGTTTACATTTCTAAAAATGGATTGCATCTTATAATCAGTGTATACCTTGAATATAGTGCTTGTCCCAAAATTCCATTATTAAATAACACGTCTAGAACCCAGGAAATAATATTTCCTTCGTGGCCATAAAAACCTCTCTCTTAAGAAGGTAAGAATTTTTTTTTTTCCCAGTGAAAAGCCCGTGGCCTTGTTTCTTGTAGCAAGTAAAGCACCAAAGAATGCACGGGCACTAACAAGGAAATCCACCACCTCTGTAATCTCACTCTGCTTTTTGGCCTGAGTTGTACTGCCTGAGTTCCAATCCCTGCTCCTCCAAGAGCTCAAGAAGTCACTTAGCCCCTCTAGGCCTCCATTAACAAAACTGTAAGGTGATCACAAAGTAACACTCATTTCATCCGGCCTGTATGAAGTTATATCAAATCATCTAAGTAATCTTACCAGTGTGGCAGAGGATGTGGCAGAGGCAAGTGCTCAGTAATATTCATTATTATTACCTTTTAACAGATATATAAATGACTATACAGCTAGGTAAGTATGCCTGACTAGGGGCTAACTTAACTGGTTAGCACTGGTTTAGGGAAAGGCAAATACAGTAAAACAAACAAACAAAACTGTGTTCTTAGGGTTTGAGAACAAGAAATGGAAGAGAGAAAAGGAGAATGACATGGAAAAGAGAATGGGAAATAAAATGAGGAGAAACGTGCAGTGTATTTTATGGCAATTTGACTTAAGAAGAAGCCAAAGACTAATTTTTGACCCAGAGAACGTTCTAGATAAGATGGACCCTGAACTGCTGTCACCAAAAGAGAGAGATTCTGACAATTCAGTGGTTCAAACAAGATAACCAACTCTAGTTACAAAAAGAGGTTTGGTCTACAGTGAGGGGCTGTCCAGTAAGCCAGGTTTCCTCTGTCTTTCTGGTCTACCATCCCCTGGAGTGCTATTTTTCTCTGAATTAGCCAGTCTGGGTGGCCAGCCCCAAGTCTGTCGTCCAGGTGTGGGAAAGGAAATATTGAAGACTGGAGAGCTGTCAACTCCCTGTTCTAAGGACATATCTAAGGACCCCATAGTTGCACATGTCACTTCTGCTTACTGTCTACTAATTGTAGGGCCAACAGGAGGCTGCAAGGAAGATGAGAACTGCAGGCCGACTCACCCAAAGGAGAAAGGGAGAGAGGCTGCGGGGAAAGACTCTGCCCTAGAGAGAGAGTTTGACCAGCGGGGAACGGAGCTCAACGGACTGGAGACGCCACCACACTGTGTGCTCATCTTCACAAAGTCTTTCCCATAAACCACACAACCATAGGGTTTAATAGGCACAGAAGAACAGCTGTCTTCTGTGAATCTCCATTTGACGTAAACTTTTAGAGGTACGTTATGATTAGCTCAGAGTAACACAACTAGTAAATGGCAGAGCCAGGATTCAAACTCAGGTCTTTAGATGTTCAACTCTATTGAGCCAGGATTGTCCCCAAATCTGGGCTCTTTTCCTCTTTACCAAACTACTTCACAATCCCGTTGCCTCCTTGTAAAACCATGTAGGCTGTGCGTGGAAAACTGTCAACCACGGAGAGTGCTGAAGTTTCGCTCTGTGAATTGCCAATAAGAAAATTGTATGCCTGACTCAACTAAATACCTATTTGTTAGATATTTAACATTGATGTTCTTCCGTTAGGAGATTCCATTCTCACTCTCATTGGGCGGGTTGCCTAAACAGTAATGCACTCTTTCATATCCAGTTACAAAAAGAGGTTTGGTATACAGTGTGGGTTGTGGAGAATGTAATCAACCCCTGGGCTAAGATTCCCTGATCCCCAGCTTCTTTTGCACCTGTGGTTTACCTTTTGTCAGAGGAGAATATGCCAAAAGGGAGGGGAGGATGGGAATTAAATGATTTCTTTTCCGTGTGAATGGGAGGAGCCCTCTGAAAAACTCCATTAAAAGCAATCACTGCCGCTGGACAACCTCAGAGCAGGTTCATTAGCAGGGAGCCACCATGGCCGAAAAGTCCAAATTTATTGAGTTCGTTGATGAAGCTTTAGAAAAGTCACAAGAAACTGCACTTTCTTCCTTATTTTTCACCTATCAGGGGATTCCTTACCCAGTCACCATGTGCACCTTCGAAACGTTCCAAGCCCTGGACACCTTTGAAGCCAGAGGCGACGACATTGTGCTTGCATCTTATCCAAAGTGTGGTAAATAACAAATCATTTCCCACAGGCGCCGTTCTCGTAGTGAGTGGGTGTGGGGGGTCTGAGACAAAGGTGGGAAGAAAGCAGTTCATCTCGGCTGGAAGCTGGCCGGACAGCAGAAAAGGAGGGTGGTAAAATTGGTAACCAGAACGGCTAGATTTTAAAACTCCAGTGTCCCAGGGACAAAATCTGTATGAAAGGCCAGGATGGAGGATAGATGGTGGAAGGGGACGGATGGTGGGTGGGGCTGGAACTGGGGAAAGTCGGGGGACAAGGGCATACGGGCAAGGAGAACCCCCCTCTCCATATTGGTCAGCATCAAGCGCTGACTGTAGCAGAGGTTTCCATCTCCATTTTGTACTAAAGTCGAGAGCATGGCCACTCTTTCAATTTGCATGTGATAGATTATTTTTCGGGATCAAACATTAGTCCTCCAGTTTCTCTCATTATTTTTACAAAATTTTCATCAGTGGAGGACAAGACAGGAAGAATGTAAGTCATCTTACTTTGCCTCACCTATTTTTGATTCTTTCCATTGATGTTTGTTTGTTTTTATTTTTTTGAGACAGAGTTTTACTTTGTCACCCTTGGTAGAGTGCTGTGACGTCCTAGCTCACAGCAACCTCAAACTCTTGGGCTCAAGCGATTCTCTTGCCTCAGCCTTCCAAGTAGCTGAGACTACTGGTGCCCACCACAATGTCCAGCTATTTTTAGAGATGGGGTCTCGCTCTTGCTCAGGCTGGTCTCGATCCTGTGAGCTCAGGGCAATCAACCACCTTGGCCTCCCAGAGTGCTAGGATTATAGGCATGAGCCACCATGCCAGCCTTCCACTGTTGTTTATGAAAGCCAACCTCATTTAATATTTTTTCTTAATTGTTTTTTTTTGGGGGGGTGGGGGTTTTTTGTTGCTTTTTTTTTGAGACAGAGTATCACTATGTTGAGTGCTATGGCATTACAGCTCACAGCAACCTCCAAATCTCGGGCTTAAGCGCTTCTCTTGCCTCAGACTCCTGAATAGCTGGGGCTACAGGCGCCCACCACAACGCCTGGCTATTTTTTGTTGCAGTTGTCATTGTTGTTTAGCTGGCCGGGGCTGTGTTCAAACCCACCACCCTTAGTGTATGTGGCTGGCACTGTAACCACGGTGCTACAGGTGCCAAGCCTGTTATTGGATTTTTATAAAATCAAAATTATATACTCTGACAGAAAATATTTATTAATTTAAAGTAAAATAATATATGACATAATAAACAGCCACTTCTGTAATACAGCATTGTTCTATAAGGAACATATTCTAGATTCAAAAAGAAACATTGTCTCTATTAAAGAGACAAGTGACAAATAAGTTGAATTTTGTACTAAAATAAGTAAATGCTGTTTTCACCATAGTTTCTTTCCATAGCCCAGGTTATTTCAATGTAGAAAACTAAACATACACATCAGGGAATGCTTGTAGATTTTAATTGTCATGGGATGTATGCTAAAGTAACTTCCCTTGGTGATATCAAGACTCCATAACGAACATTTATTCTCTGATTTTTCTTATAGGTTCAAATTGGATTCTCCACATCGTCAGTGAATTAGTATTTGCTGTTTCTAAAAAAAAGTATGAATATCCAGAATTCCCAGTCCTTGAATGTGGGGACTCAGAAAAATATCAGGTTAGTACAAACAGACTTTAACCTTACAGCAAATTATCCTAGAAAGATTTCTTCCATTTTGAAGATTCCTTAGTTTTTAGTTCAGAAACTATAATACTAATTCTGTAATTATTGCAATTTATTACGTGTTCATCATATCCTCCGCAATTTGGAGGTATTCTTTTGTGGCAAAATGAGCTTATCCTTTTACAAAAGATAAAACTTGGAACTTGCCCAAGGCCAAGGAGTGAATAAATAATAAAGGTAAGAACTGAACCCAAGCTTCTTCATCTGGAATCTTAGCAACTACACTATGTGCCAGACTTTTTTCTTTTTTAAAGTAGAGGGAAAGGTAAGTTGAGAAGCCTCAGGAAATGAACTGAAACCAAAGGTCTCATCTCTGAAGACACGGGCATGGGCTGGATGTGAGCAGGGATCTCCAGTCTTTTCCTAGTAAGACATCACTTTTGATTGTCCAGTCTCGTATCACTCGGGTGTGTGTGTGAGGGATGGGAAAGGATCAAGTACCAACACCCTACCTGTCACGTCATCCCTGCTCACCTTCCCAGGGTAACTGACTGCGACCTGAGCCTGGGACAAGATGCTGTGCTCCATGCCCAGGGAAGGTGAGCGAGGGGTGGGAAGAGATCTACCCTGGGACTTCAGTGCTTAGACAGGACAAGGGCAGGGACAACCACCCCTCTCCGTCCTCCTCACCCCCTCAGAATGCAGCTGGGAAGGGAAGGCTGTTTTTAGGGGGAACCACATCCTCAGCAAAACTCTCAGACGTGTTCACCACCAAGACTCCCAACAAGCAGACGGAACCCAGTTACTAAAAATAGAGCCACTTGGATTGGGACTTAAAGAACAGCTTCTGGAAAGTGCCTGAAACACTGGGCATGATGACAAATACGAACTTGGAGTTTGGGTGGGAGGGCGTCTACTTCTATGGATTTGGCCAAAGTAGCAGAAAAATACATTGTAAATGAGGTAGGTGTTCAGGGACTCCAGGGGTGAGGTATCGGGAGGTAAATGCTGAATCCTGACTCTGGTTGGCTCTGAAATGACCTCTGATAAAACTGTATAATAACGTAAACCATTTATACTTAGGGAATTTCCTGTGACGTTGCTTACTGATACAGCAAAGAATTTTTTTTATTCCTGATCAAGTTTTGCCATGGCAGGACTCAATCCTGAGCATATGCACCCAAAATCCTCGGAACCTCTCTTTCTCCTCTTGGAAAACCTATCCCTAAGTCAGGGTCCTTTCTATTTCACCAACCGCTTTAGCCTGAATGTAAAGCAAAGCATTGCTTCTGTATTCAGGTCCCTGTATTCTAAGTCTCAGCTCTAATTATGAAAGTTGTACTTCCTGCTAAGGGAATATCCATCTTTAGTAAAAAGATTCAGATGATTTTTAAAGCCAACAAAGTCTTCTGGAACCATGTAAGTTAACTTCAAATTGATGTATAATGTAAGCAGAACATAGGGTCCTAGCTCTAGGGTTTCTGGTAAATGCTTTAACCAAGTCTAGTACCTTGAGTTTTGATATCCAAGAATTATCAGAAATGTTTATTTTTTTCTTCAGGAATTTTAAAAGACATTTTAAAAAATATTTTTTAATGACGGAAACATAAACACCTGAAACCGCAGCTTCTGGAAGAACCACTTATTCTTGCCCATCTCATACTTCTCTTCAAACTTGACCTTGGCTTCCCATCGGGCCTTGCACTTAAGAGCAGGGTCTCTGAAAATATCTTTGTTGATGACAGTTTTATCCAAGGGGGTGAACACAGAGTACCTTGTGGGCATGAGGTGATTGTAGTTATAAACTTTTACAAAAGACTTGACCTTTGATCACTTGGCAATCTTATTCTTCTTGCCCATGGCAGCTGTCACTTTGCGGGAATAGCAGTCAATTCCAGCCACCAGAGCATGGCTGTAGGGGTGGTCCAAGGTGCCACCATCAAGTTTCTTCATGATGAAGGCTTTACATCCAGTGTAGAGTCTGGCCAGGACCAGCACCACCTACCCAGGTTTCATGAATGCGTCCATGTCCAGTGCCACCAAGCCCTGGACCCCCAGAACATGGATGGCAGCAGATTGGAAGATCCAGCCTGAGATTCCACTCACTGATCTTAAAAGAAAGATTTTTGTATTTTAATTGTAATTTCATCATATATACATATCTAAGAATAAAGATACTTTTCTTTTCTTTTCTTTTCTTTTTTTGAGAGTCTCACTATGTCACCCTTGGTAGAGTGCTATGGTATCACAGCTCACAGCAACTTCAAACTCTTGGGCTTAAGTGATTCTCTTGCCTTAGCCTCCCAGTAACTGAGACTACAGGCACCTGCCACAATATCTGGCTATTTTTTGTTGTTGTTATTATTGTTGTTTTGAGCAGTTCCTGGCCGGGTTTGAACCCACCAGCCCCAGTGCATGTGGCTGGCACACTAACTTTTGTGCCCAGGAGTTCCACAAAGACCACGCTGACAAACAAGCCAAATTTATAGCAGAGTTCTTTTATTGAAGAGCTGGCCGGTGACTGCCTCAGTGTCCTAACATGGGGTTTCTGAGAGCAGCCCCGAGTGCTTAAGGGGTTGGGTTTTTAAGGCTTGGTCTGCATTCTGGGTGGCATGCAGGCTGTCCAGTTGCATCCAGGTGGGGTATCAAGCAAGCATCGTACAGAAGCAGAATTTTGCAGTTAGTTAGGCATACATCATACATCTTTGTTTTAATATTTTCTCCCATACATCTTAGTTTCAGTATTCTCCCCCTGCTATTGTTTAAAAATCAGTCTGGGAACAGTTGGTACTTCCCGGTTTATTTCCCAGAGAGTTAGCCAAGCAAGAAACTGGGAATGAACTAGAAGCAAGAAACCAATGAGCACTTTCTCATTTATTGGGGGCGAACTAGACTTATTTCATTTCTTTTTCTTAAAGCGTGAAGTCCAGAAATTTGCCAATAGTTAACCCATTATAACCTAGGCCTAACACCAACTGCTGAGCTACAGGCGTCAAGCCTTCTCTCTCCTTTTTTAGAGAGTCTTACTCAGCTCAAGTGTAGTGGCCTGATCATAGCTCCTTGTAACCTTGACTTCTTGGGCTTAAGTCATCTTCATTGCCTCAACCTCCCTAGTAGCTGGGACTACAAGTGCCTGCCTTCATACCCAGCTAATTTTTTTTTAATTTTTTGTAGAGACAAAGGTCTTCCTACGTTGCCTAGGCTGCTCTTGAACTCCTGGTCTGAAGTGATCCTCCATGCCCCAGCCTCCTAAACAGCTGGATTATAGGTGTGAGCCACCACACTCAGCCAAAGATAACTTCTTTATACAATGCACCATTTATGTTTAAATGGAAATCAGTGAGATGAGCTCTAGTAAATAGTTATTCACTTTAGAAAAAACTCTTCTAGAATACATATTTGTCCTTAAGCAAGGTACAGTCTTGACATTGCTTCTAGTTTGGTCATATTACACCTTTTAATGAACATATTCTATTTGTCTTGTTTTATTGCAGTTGGCTTCTATTTCCCTGTTGGATATTTTTCTAATCTTTTTAGTAACTTTAACCATTTCTCACATGTCTGTATGTGATTTTTGGCCATGCAGTTTAATGGAAACAGCACCCTACAACTTAATCTGAAAATTACCGCCTGTGCAACTTTGCACAAAGCACCTAAAACCTTGCAGCTGGTTCTTAATCTCTAAAATGAGGGTTATGATATCTACCTGAGAGGATTGCTGTGAATGAATGCAAAATTACTTCAAATGCTAGAAAGTACAATTTGATGTTCTATCAGGCATTATCACTACTGGTCACTGCTTGGGCCCATATCATAGATTTAAATTGTTGTTTTTTTTTTTTTTTACATCTTATTTTTTGCTTTCTTCCTTAAGTTGGAATCTCCACCAAGTTTTTACAGAGCAATTGGATGTTAGTATCTGAATATCGTTGTATCACTTGCAATGAGTGTGTATGTAGTAGGTGCGACCAAGCAGTGAGTGAACCCTAAAAGTGTGGAATTGAAAATTTGAAGTCATTAAGATCTGATTTTATTTTATTTTTTTTTTAAGAGACAGAGTCTCACTTTGTTGCCCTTGGTAGAGTGCCATGGCATCACAGCTCACAGCAACCTCCAACTCCTGGGCTTAGGTGACTCTCTTGGCTCAGCCTCTGGAGTAGCTGGGACTACAGGCACCCACCACAACGCCTGGCTATTTTTTGTTGCAGTTTGGCCGAGGCCGGGCTCGAACCCACCACCCTCAGTATATGGGGCTGGCGCCCTACTCACTGAGCCACAGGTGCTGCCCTAAGATCTGATTTTAAAGTTAAAACCCTTAGCTCTGGCAAACAGAATGGATAACTTCATTTTCAAAATTATTAATAGAAATAGGTGACAAAAATGAATCAATCACCTACAGTCCTTATACTGAAAAGAATTTCTCTCATGAAATATTTCTCGGACATTTAAGAGACCCTGTGAACTGCCAAATTATGTTGGGACATTTGATTGCATAGAGTTTTACTTGGTTAAACAAAAAAAAATCTAGATGTTCAAAATGGATTTGCAGGGATTGAGACCTGAATATTTCTGTCAAAGATCCTAACTATAGAAGAGAACCAATTAAGTGAAAGAGTGGATCACAGAGTTTGAGCTGTCTTGAACAAAATGGATTTCATATGATTATAGGTAAAGGTAAATTTTTTTAAAACAACAAAAAAGATTGGGAATTGGTAATCAGGCTGCAACAAGGAAGTTTAAGAAGATTTTAATGATTTGTGTATTTATGATTCTTCATTCCCCATCGCCATAAAGTAAGAAAATAGAAATAAAGAAAAACTGGAAAGGCCTGGTGTGGTGGCTCACGCCTATAACCCTAGCACTCTGGGCGGCCAAGGCAGGTGGATTGCTTGTGCTCCAGCCTGAGCTAGAGCAAAACACTGTCTCTAAAAAATAACCAGCATTGTGTCAGGCACCTGTAGTCCCAGCCACTCAGGAGGCTGAAGCAAGAGAATTGCTTGAGCCCAGAGTTTGAGGTTGCTGTGAGCTATGATGCCACGGTATTCTCCAAGGGTGACAAAGTGAGACGAGAAGATACAGTCATAGTGCTTAAAAGTCACATTTAGATACCAAACTTAGGAGTGACTCCCTATACACACACCGACTTTCACCTTTTGTGTATGTTTTTAAGAGAATGAAAAAGTTTCCATCGCCAAGGATTTTGACAACTCACCTCCATTATGACAAATTACCTGGGTCCATCTTCAAGAATAAAGCCAAGGTGAGTGCCCCTTCCTACTGATACTTCCACTTGAAATTTTTATGTATAGATATTGGCTCTTTGATGTATATGATGAGTTTGCTCCTCATCACTGGATTTTAATAAGTAAAGTATGAGATTTAGTATTTCTTTTGTTGTTGTTTCTTTCTTTGTAGGTTTATGGTCGTATTCATTCCAAATCCATTTTGAGATCTAAAGCACAGGCAAAGAATAAATATTACATAAATATATAAAGCATATAATCTCTTTTCCAGTGAATGCATTTCAGAATCCCATTAGAATAGTTAGGGTGTTTAACAAAAGAATACAACCTAGTAAAATGACCAAAATTGTTCCTTTGGTTCTTTCTGGTGAGTGCTATTTATCAGACATCTAAAAACGACTTTATTTTTGAACTTCATGTACAATGAGAACCTTCACATCAGGCATATGCAACTGTGGGCCCTTTGGCTACTTTCATCACTTGTGTGAAAACCTTGTTTCCTTAACCAGTCTTGATACATTTGTTGTAATCACTAGTTTTTACCCAGTCCCTTTTGTTTCCTGTCACCCGGGCTCCCCACCATTTTTTTTTTTTTTTTTGTCTCAGCTGGAAAGGATGAGAATTAATTAAAATTGAGGTTTAAATTCTGGAATGCCACAAAGAAGAACGGAGAATAGTGAAGTAATAGCAACGGCAGAAGACAGTTAAGAGAACTACAATGGCTGCAGGTAGGAGGGGTAATGAAGGAGGACAGGAGAGTGAGAAGGAAGAATCAGGAAGTGGAGGAGGTGTTGAGGGAGCAGCCCGTGGGCCAGGGCCAGCATCCCAGGGGCTCAGACGTGGAAAAAGCCTTCAAGGTTGTCCGCACTAATTCCCACTGGGTGTTTAAATTCTAAGCTGCTGTCTGGACCGTGATTGAGCCCTCCAATTGGACGGAACTCCTCTAGCTCCCGAGCCAGGTTGGTTTGAACAGCTCTGTTGAGCAGTTATCCCTTCTATTCAGAATCTATAAAGTAGGAAATCTCATGTTAACACATAAGTGCCCCCATTTAATGCAGCTGACATAATCACCAATCCAGGTGACTCCTTCTCTCCTTAACGATTCTGTAAGAAACAGCTGAAGTAATTTAGAAAGCAGTTAGATTTGGGGACATGGAGGCTTCTGAACCGCGTTTCACTTTCACAAGAATGCAAGGGCAAGGAGAGGGCAACAGAGAAATAAGAGGGTGATGCTGGCAAGTTGCCCACACTCCAGGCAAGGGGCCCTCACAATTTAAATTTATGTCTTTATAAACGTAACCATTGGGGTAGTATCCAAACAGACTACTAAGTGGTAGTTGAACCCTGAATATAAACCTCTTGTAAGGCCAGACCAGACTGACTGGGCTTGCTCACTGGACACCTTCTCCACTTCTTTCAGCACCAATAGGTGCGGCTGGAACCGGCTATGTTCACAGCGATGTCATGCTTATGTAACTGCTGGTGGCACCTTGCCACCTTCATTTCCCCTGGGCATAAAGGTGTTCAGGACCTTCCCTGTGTGGACCTCCCGTGTAGCTCACACGCTGGATAAGGGCCACGAGCTAGATAAGGGCAGACTTGCCCTGTCTGCTCACCGCCTCCCTGAGTTGAATGAAGACATGGTACACCTGCCCTCAGAACCTAACTTACTCTCTGCAAGAATCAGGACACTTGCGTTATACCCGCAAATGACCAGAATCTATCAGATTTGGATTGGGGGCAGGGGTGAATTTTAGATCTGAGCGTAAGATAAGTCTGTGGCCCATGCTTCTCTGTTTAATTTTAACCTGTTAGCCTTAATTCATTTCTTTAGATAAACAAGGTATTTTGAGATCCGGATTCCCTCCCAGTTTCATGTTATCTACAAATTTGATAAATATCACTTTTATATCCTTTTTTTTTTTTTTTGGAGGTAGAGTTTCACTCTATTGCCCCAGGCTAAAGTGTGGTGGCATCAACCTAACTTACAGCAACCTCTAACTCCTGAGTTCAAGTGATCCTCCTGCCTCAGCCTCCAAAGTAGCTGGGACTAGAGGCACTGCCACGATGCCCAGCTAATTTTTTCTATTTTTAGTGGAGCCGGGCCTCAAACTTGCTCAAACTGGTCTTGAACTCCTGAGCTCAAGCAGTCTACCAGCCTCAGCCTCCCAGAAAACTAGGATTACAGGTGTGAGCCACTGCATCCAGCCTAGCTTTTATATCTTCACCTAAATCAATCATTAACATGTTAACCATGACCCAGCCAGGACAGTGGAAGGGTTTATTAAAAACAACCATCAAAGGGTGGCACCTGTGGCTCACGGAGTGGCTCACAGAGTAGGGTGCCGGCCCCATATGCTGGAAGTGGCAGGTTCAAACTCAGCCCCACACAAAAATGCAAAAAAAATTAAAAAATCCATCAGACTCAGCACCTGTAACTCAAGTGACTAAGTGCTAGCCACATACACAAGAGCTGACAGGTTCGAATCCAGCCCAAGCCTGCCAAACAACGACAACTACAACCAAAACATAGCCAGGCTTTGTGGTGAGTGCCTGTAGTCCCAGCTACTTGGAAGGTAGAGGCAAGAGAATCACTTAAAACCCAGGAGTTGGAGGTAACTGTGAGCAGTGATGTCACAGCACTCAACCCAGGGTGACAGCTTGAGGCTCTCTGCCTCAAAAAATAAATAAATATATAAAAACCTTCATCAGGCTCGGCACCTGTAGCACAGTGGTTATGGCACCAGCCACATACACCGACGCTGGCAGGTTTGAATCCAGCCTGGGCCAGGTAAACAATAATGACAACTGCAACAAAAAAATAGCCAGGTGTTGTGGCGGGCGCCTGTAGTCCCAGCTACTTGGGAGGCTGAGGCAAGAGAACCACTTAAGCCCAAGAGTTTGAGGTTGCTGTGAGCTGTGAAGCCAAAGCACTCTACTGAGGGTGACATAGTGAGATTCTGTCTCAAGAAAAAAAAAAAAGAAAAGAAAGAAAGAAAATAAAAAGCTCCATGCAGGTTTACATCGATCAATTATTTAGCCTCCTTTGCGCATGATGACCTAGTTTCATATACCTCGTTGCCCTTACTTCTGGCTTCCATCCTTACTTTTATGTGCAGAAGAAATCATAAGCTACTCCATCTACTCATCTTGTTCAAAGAATCCCGATGTTAGCAGCAACTTGCTCTTAGAGGACCCATGTTGCCCCCTGCTGGTTACTGCTTCCTCTTTTATGTGGCCCCTCTTGTTTTTCTCCCAAATAGAGGTCAGAATCGGAACTTTGCAAAATATCTTCCCCTGTTCTGACAGTGACATGCCTTCTACCTGTCTCTAGTCCTCTGACCTCTTGTGAATTATCTTAGGTTCCCCAGTTTTCTTAAACATGCTCAATGCTGTGTCCTCCATTTCCTCAGTTCTTTTCTTTTCTTTCCTTTACTTATTTATGTATTTATTTTGAGACAGTGTCACTCTGTTGTCCCAGGCTAGAGTACTGTGGGGTCATATCTCACAGCACCCTCAAACGCTTGGGCTCATTCCTCGCTCTTGTTCCAGCCACCTGAGCAGCAGGAATTATTGGCGCCCGCCACCCCACTCAGCCAATTTTTCTATTTTTCATAGAGACGGGGGTGGGGGTGTGTGTCTCATTCTTCCTCAGGCTGGTCTTGAATTTCCCAGAGCACTAGGATTAGTTCTTGAAATGGAAAGCCCTGGGCCGGAACACCCTAACTCACTCGGAGTGGCCACACAGTGTCCTGCAGTGTTTTGGTTCTCTTGGGTTTTGCTTTTCACACTTTTCATCCGAAGCAACACTTCCTTCATCAGAGAAAACAGAGATAATATAGGAATTCAGAGGTCCTGCTTTATCTAAATAACCACGATCATCAGACCTCAGGGCCCAGGTGGTGGGCCTTGCCATTCTTTAGTATTCTCCCGCCAATTCTGAGTACTATTGTTGTTATTCTAAACATTATTTTGCGATTTTAATTTTATTTCTGGGTTAAGCTTTCGGATCATACTCTTGTGACTATTCTACGAGCTTGCTCTTTGTACTTTTTACGTCTTCTGCGCACGCCTTTGTATTGTCTAAACTCATTAGCAAAGGTCCTTTGCCGAATCAACCTTCTTGCTCCCCTCTCCCTAGACTTCTCCAATGGACCCTTCCTGTTCCTTCATTTATTTATTTATTTATTTATTTTGAGACAGAGTGTCACTCTGTTGCCCTGGGTGGAGTGCTGTGGCATCACAGCTCACAGCAACCTCAAACTCTTGGGCTCAAGTGATCCTCTTGCTTCAGCCTCTTGAACCGTTGGGGCTATTTTTGGAGAGGGGAAAAGTGTCTCGCTCTTGTTCAGGCTGGTCTTGAACTCCCGAGCTCAAGCAATCCACCCGCCTCAGCCTCCCAGAGTGCTGGGATTATCACAGGGGTGAGCGACCGCACCCGGCCCTCTCGAGGTTCCTTCATTTAGTACTGTTGTTCTTTCCATATTAACACAATTATGTAATATACAAATAGGCACGGTGATATTGCCCGCTTCTTCACTTTTTCAAAATTCAAAACAGAGACATAAATAAATCAACTTACTTTTCGCTCCGTAGATATTGGTGATATTTCGAAATCCTAAAGATACAGCAGTGTCTTTTTTCCATTTCCACAATGATGTCCCTGATATTCCAAGCTACAGCTCTTGGGATGAATTCTTCGGAGAGTTCATGAAAGGACAAGGTATGGCTGTTGATAAAAGAATTCTCCTTACTTCAACACATGACCATATAAATAGGAAAATTCCAATTGTTTTAGGGTAAAGAAAGAAGTAAGAGTTAGGCAGGTACGTTGCATTAAAGTGAAGTTTTATAGCATCAGTAGTTTGTGCATCAAACAATTAAAATGCATTACTGGTTTTGAATGTAATTTGGACAATTCATATGGTGACCGTGATGAGTATTGAGTCATAGAACAGACCTGGGCAAAGAGGCCTTTAACTAAGAGTCAGGCAGGAAAGCATTTGTAGTCAATTTCTTGAAAGTTACTGTACAACACAGTGATAAAAAACCAAGAAAAAAATGACATTAAGACATTTATTGGTCAGAGAGGAAATAAGTTTTTTTCAGATCATGTCAATGTTTTACCTCTGGTCATTGATAACTATGATTTTCTAAGTGTCTTTTGCTGCCCCAGACCTTTGAGTAGGTGTTTATGCACGATTTCATGTAAGACTCATAACAAACTGTGAGTAAAGTGGTATTAGTCACTCATCAAAAGAGTGAAAACCTGGGCCAAAGTTCCCACTCCTTGTAAGTGGCTGTGACTCCACTTGACAGGGATAGAGGCCAGAGACCAATCAATGCCTCTTTTTGTGAGTGGCTCTTTGAGTCTTTCATGTGTAGTAGGGGAAGAATTATGCCAGATGACCCTAGAGAAGAAGCTGTGGTCAGTTCACTCTAAGAGGACTAGTTTGTTAAACAATTTATTTACTTTTTATTGTGTATCTTTAAAGTGTACAACATAATGCTTTGCCATATACATAATGCAATGATTAATATAATTGAGCAACATATCATATCCATCAGGTCACATAGTTACTTTTTTGAGTGGTAAGGGCATCTAAAATCTGTTCTCTTAACAAATTTTCAGCAGACAATACACCTGCGTAGGCCTCATGCTGTATATTAGATCTCTGTGTGTTCATACCTGAATGATTCTTACCTGCATAATTGCAAGGTTGTACCCTCTAACCTACATCTCTTCATTTCTTCCCCTTCCCCAACCCCGGTCACCACCATCCTACTCTCTGTTTCTCTGTGTTTGACTTTTTAAAGATTCTACATACACGTGAGATCATGCAGTAGTTTTCTTTTTGGGTCTGGCTTATTTGGTTAGCATAACATCATCCAGATTCATCCATGTTGTTACAAACGATGTTGAGAAACTTGTCATCAATAATCTTTGTTCACCCTATCCGTCCCTTTAGCCTAATTATTTAATTGGCAAAGATAATGTGTCACAGTAATAACTTGAATAGACTTTCTGCCTTGCAAGTATCTTATATTCAACTTATGAAGGAAGCAGAATGTCCTGGAAAACATATAGGATTTGGAATGAGGAGGCCTAGATTAAGCTTTATCACATTACTATCCATTAATAATTCATGACGCCTGTAGCTCAGTGAGTAGGGCGCCGGCCACATATACTGAGGCTGGTGGGTTTGAACCTGACCCAGGCCAGCTAAAACAATGACAACTGCAACAAAAAAATAGCCGGGCATTGTGGCGGGTGCCTATAGTTCCAGCTACTTGGGAGGCTAAGGCAAGAGAATCGATTAAGCCCAAGAGTTTGAGGTTGCTGTGAGCTGTGACGCCACAGCACTCTACCAAAGGCAACATAGACTCTGTCTCAAACTTCAAAAAACAAAAAATTAATATTTGACAAAATACAATGGCTACCACTGACTAAGTTGTTACCACATGCAAGGTACCACATGCTTTTCCTATCATACATTGTCTAATTTTAATTCTCACAAGACTTCTAGAAGGATAGCTATTATTCTCATTCTCTTAAAAAGGAAATAAAGGAACTGAAAGGTCACCCAGCCATGAAGTAGCAGATCTAGAACTTAAATTTACTGCCTGTGTGACTGTAAACAAGAAATCTGATCTTTCTGAACTTTGGTTTCTGTACCTGTAAAGTGGAGATAAATATTCAGCCTGTGGGAGGAGACAGTGTAGCATTTCTGTTGGCAGCACTACCTCTGATGACAGACTGATTTTGAATGACGGCTTGCAGAAGGTATAGCCGTAAAGCAGTTGTTTACCCTCTCTGGGTTTTTATTTTCCTTTCCACAAAAAGGGGCATAAAAATTGTACCTATGACATTAGGTTGCTCTAAAAGTCAAAGGATGAAAAAGTATGTGTATCAATTAATAATGCAATAATGCAATGATAATATGAAAGAGCAGAAAACGGGACCCCAGTGGCCTAAACAGGATGAGTGCAGTAGCGCAGGGATGTTGGGCCTGCACCTCTGATATTCCTTTGGCCTCTTCTTCATGGTTTTTTGCAACACACCTTCAAGGTGGCTACTGTCCCTTCATTCATCACCTTCCGTTCAGGAAAGAGGAGGCAGGACAGCACCAGCTGACCGTGTTCCTTAGCTCAGGACAATAATAGTTTTACTGAAACTATTTCAGCAGACTTTTGTTTGTCTCACTGGGCAGAACCATGTCATGCGGCCCATCACAGCTTGAAGAGAGGCAGCAAATCAGCCAACAGAATTCTCAGCAACTCTAAGATTGGTTTGGACCCAAACAATCAGAGTTTGATTAGCAGCAAAGAAAGAGATGTATTGGATATTGGGCAGGCAATTTACAGTGTCTGCTACAACAAATAAAACACATGGAAACTACCTGGGGGCAGTGCCTGTGGCTCAAAGGAGTAGGGCTCTGGCCCCATATACCAGAGGTGGTGGGTTCAAATTCAGCCCTGGCCAAAAAAAAAAAAAAATTTGCACTCATGATGATAATTATGATGTCATTATTATTAAGAGTAATGATCATAATCACTAACATTTATTGCGTACTATGAATCAAGCACTGTTTTAAGCCTTTTACATGTGTTAATTGATTTACACCCAATGATACCCCATTTTACAGATGGGGAAACTAAGGTACAGTTTAGGCAGTTGCCTGAAGTCTCACAGCTAGTAAACAGCACAGCTCATCAATGTCTAGATCTGCATTGGCAGTCTGGTAGCCACTAGCCACATGTGGTAACTGAGCACTTGTAATGTGACTAGTGCAACTGAATTTTTAATTTCTTAAAATTTTAATTAAAGATGGTACTCAATTCAGTTATTATAAAACTTTTAAGTAAACTTGTAATAAGTTGAAGTATGAATATATTTTTTCAGCTATAAGGTTTTTTTTTTGTTGTTGTTGGCCGAGGCTGGGTTTGAACCCACCATCTCCGGCATATGGGGTCCGTGACCTACCCTTTTGAGCCACAGGCGCCGCCCTCAGCTGTAAGTTTTATGAATACCAAATACACATCAAATATTTTATTTTACTATTATTTTTTTCTGGAGATACAGTCTTACTCTGTTGCCCAAGCTAGAGTACAGTGGTGTCATCATAGCTCACAGCAACCTCAAACTCTTGGACTCAAACGATCCACCTGCCTCAGCCTCCTGAGTAACTGGGATTAGAGGTGCACACTATTGCACCTAGCTATTTTTTTTCCATTTTTTCAGTGGAGATGGGGTCTCACTCTTGCTCAGGCTGATCTCAAACTTCTAAACTAAGCAGTCCTCCTGCCTCAGCCTACCAGAGTGCTGGGATTACAGGTGTGAGCCACTGCTCTGGCCAATGGCCAACATCAAGGATTTTCAATAAACATTTAGCATCCAAACTGAAATTTTCTGTGTATGTAAATATCTACTGACTTTTAAAGACTTAGAATATAAAAAACAATGTGTAATGTTTTATTAATCATTTTTTGTTGATTAGATGTTTAAATGATATTTTTGATATGTTGGGTTAAATAAAGTAAAACATTAAAGTAAATTTCACCTGTTTCTTTTTGCTTTTGTAAGTTACATATATGGCTTGCACTGCATTTCTATTGGGCAATGCTGGTATTTTTGGTATAATCTCTGTCAACTTTCATGTATCTTTCACTGTTTCTGAATTATTTTATTCACCTTTATATTCATGAATTTGTTATAGTTTCTCTTTTCTTTCTTTTTCTTTAAATATATATATATATATATTGTAGAGACAGAGTCTCACTTTATCATCCTCAGGAGAGTGCTGTGGGTCACACAGCTCACAGGAACCTCCAACTCCTGGGGTTAGATGATTCTCTTGCTTCAGCCTCCTAAGTAACTGGGACCACAGGCACCAGTCACAACACCCGGCCAATTTTTTGTTGTTGTTGCAGTTCGGCTGGGCTGGGTTTGAACCTGCCACCCTTAGTATATGGGGCCAGCGCCCTACCCAGTGAGCCACAGGTGCTACCCTTTCTTTCTTTCTTTCTTTTCTTTTTTAAGACAGAGTCTCACTATGTCACCCTCAGTAGAGTGCTGTGGTGTCACAGCTCACAGCAACCTCAAACTCTTGGGCTTAAGCCAGTGGTTCTCAACCTTCCTAATCCTGTGGCCCTTTAATACAGTTCCTCTGGGTCGAAACCCACAGGTTGAGAACCAGAGGCTTAAGAGATTCTCTTGCCTCAGCTTCCTGAGTAGCTGGGACTACAGGTGTCTGCCACAACGCCTGGCTCTCTCTCTCTCTATATATATATATTTTGTAGTTGTTATTATTGTTGTTTGGCAGACCCGGGCTGGATTCAAACCCACCAGCCCTGGTGTATGTGGCCAGCACCCTAGCCGCTGAGCTACAGGCGGAACCAAATTTTTTATCGTTTCTATCAAATCAATTTTACAACTTGCTTAATTATGTTACTTATGAAAAATGTTCAAGAAGGTAATCAAATGGATAGAAATTGAACAGTGGATGTGGTTTATCCCTACTCCTTGGGGCCAGGGATTTATAATAACTTGTATGCATGCCTCACTGAGCATATACACAAATGTAGAGTTTATATTTTAGAGAATAAATTTCCCACCTATCATATTAACCTCAGTTACTGAAAAATTCTTAAGACGTTTTTTCTCCCCTCTGTGTTTTTAGTTTCTTGGGGCAGCTATTTTGATTTTGCAATTAATTGGAATAAACATCTTGATGATGACAATGTTAAGTTCATATTATATGAAGACCTGAAAGAGGTAAGACTGTGGTTATTGATATTCCAGAACATGATTTATTATTATTGATATTTGAGAACAACAGCACTTGTAATGGCTGGTTGTATGACCAGGCATGGTATTCAGTGAAAAAAAAATTTTTAAGGCAGGGCACGGTGCCTCAGGCTTGTAATCCTAGCATTTTAGGAAGCTAAGGCAGTGGGAAGATGCCTTGTGCTCAGGAGTTTAAGACCAGCCTCGTCAATTTGACACCCCCCTCTCGACCAAAAAATGTTTAAGTCAGCCAGATGTGGTATGCACTTATAATCCCAGCTACTCCACAGGCTGAAACAGGAGGATGGCTGAGCCCAGGGATTTGAGGTTGCTGTGAGCTATGATAACACAACTGTACTCTAGCCTGGGTGACAGAGCACAACCCTATCGCAAAGAAAAAAAAATTCCAGATATATGTGTGGCATAATGCTCAAAAAAAAATTAAACCTTACATAAATCCTGAGGTTGTTTGTTTAACAGAAATAAAATAATGCTTAGCAACTCATTACTAACAGTGACTGTTTTATTTTCCCTTTATGATGACTGGTCCAAATTTGTAATGAACAAAACATTGAAGTTGCGGTAAGCTCTGATGATACAACTGCACTTTAGCCCAAGGGCAACAAGAGTGAGACAAGATGCTGTCTCAAAATAACAATAATAATAATAATTTTATTTTTTTTCTATGTCACCCTCAGTAGAGTGCTGTGGCATCACAACTCAAAGCAACCTCAAACTCACGGGCTTAAGTGATTCTCTTGCTTCAGCCTCCCAAGTAGCTGGGACTACAGGTGCTTGCCACAACGCCTGGCTATTTTTTGTTGCAGTTGTCATTGTTGTTTAGTTGAGCCAGGCCAGGTTCGAACCCACCAACTTTGGTGTATGTGGCTGGCACTGTAACCACTGTGCTAATAATAATTTTTAAAAAAGAAAAGAAAAAGGAAAAAATTGTTAGATCTCATTGATTTAATTGAATGTACATTTGGTTTTGAATCTGTTTTTTTCTAGTTAAAATTATTTTCGAGAAATTGCTTATTTACTTAACAAACATCTAGGAAGTGATCACTCAGCATTGCTTTAGGCATTGGTGATACATCAATAACAGACCAGACAATGTTCCCTGCCCTAGAGGGGCTTGCAGGGGCGACAGAACGATAAATAGTAATATATACGATTTAAAATGTACATAGCATACAAGAAAAAGAAACAGCATGGCTGGTTAAGGAAAACTGGAAATGCCCCGAGGTAGGGGATTAGAGTGCTAGACAAATCCCAGTGTGAGATATGGGGGTTTGGGGAGACCTCCTTGAACAGATGTGAGCTGAGTAGAGATCTGAAGGAGGCGAGAGAGTGAGCCCAGTAGGTAACTGGGGGAAGAGCATTCCAGGGGGAGGGATAAACTGGGACAAAGATCATCATCCAGGGATGGTCCTGGTGCGATTAAGAGATGGCAGGAGGCAGATGTGTCTGGGCCTGTAGGAATGAACCAGGAGAGAACCGCCAGTGAAGACAGGGCTGAGCAGGTCCGACGGGGTATGAGGAATGGTGTGGCAGGCCACTCTGACTTTCGCTCTGGAAAGCCACTGTGGGATTGGAGCAGAGGGGTGATTGGAGCTGATGTGCTTCTGACAGGATTATTCTAGCTGATGTGTGAGAATGAGCTGGGACAAAGAGAAGGTAGGGAGGTCAGTGAGGGGCCACTGCAACAGTGCAGCAAGGGGAGATGAGATGGTGGCTCAGACCAGGAAGGGCAGCGCAGGCGGTAAGTGGTTGAATTCTGGATATGTGTTGAGGGAAGAGCCATCAGGATTTGCTGCTGCATTGGATGGAGGGGAGGGTGTTGAGAGAAAGACAGAGTCAAATAAGATTCCAGTGTCATTGGCCTGACCAACGGAGAAGCTGAGCTGCCATCAGCAGAGTAGGAGATGGCAACAGGTGAAGCGGGCTTGTGGGGAAAGCAGGTGTTGCGTTTTGGACACTTAGTTGGAGATGCTCGTTTGTCCTCATAATGGAGAGGCTAAGTAGGCAGCGGCTGTAAAAGTCTTGAATTCAGAGGGCGTTCTGGGCTATAGGTACAATTTGGGAATCATTGACACATACAGGGCTGTTAAGGCTTAGGTAGACACCATGGCAACCAGACCTCTGCATCACAGAAGCAGGTTCCTCTGTGGCAGTTGGAGAATCACGGCTAACACCACCCCTGTCCCAAGGGAACTTGACAATGTCCAGCCAGAGGTGTGGCATGCACAACAGGAAGTTAAGGAACCCACTCCCAAAGTGGTGATCGCGAGAGCCAAGCCTCCCAAAGACCAAAGGCCTGAGCGGCATCTGGAGGGAATCCAAGGCAGACCTCAGAGGTATCCTGCTATTTTGGCTTCTATTAATTTAGAGTTGAGTGAGATCAAGGGCAATGAGCTCAGGTTTTTGGGCAACCTTGTGCAAGCAAAAATAGAGGATGCTGTGCAAAGGTTTATTGTTAATATTGAAGAAAGATGAAATAACCTATGTGGACTTTTATCATCAGAAGAAATGCATATTTTACTGAAAGAAGAAAGCATTGAGGAGAAAAAAGATCATGAGAGAGAAAACCCAATTATTAAAAGAGAAGTAAGAAAAAGAGAGATAGGACTTTGTGGCTGAAATGCTAGACCAGCAATTCGGGGAATGCTGCAAGGAGATGCGTGTTGAATTGTTTTGTTTCCATCAGAAGAAAGTGTGCGAGGAAGGGAAAGCACAGGTTGCATTCAATGAGAAGCTAAAGAGGGAAAAGCTATTGGAAAAGGAGATGTTTGCAAGACTCTGGGAGGAGGAAAAATTCCTTCCTCTTCTCGGGAAGAGCTGGTGGAGAACCCTGGCCTGGGGCTGAGGGCCCAGATCACCAGCATCCAGGCGCAGAGGCAGGTGGTGCAGCTGCTGAAGGGAGGGGAGGTGCACCTTGAAAACGACCTTGTGGGCTTGGCGCCTATAGCTCAACCGGCTAAGGCGCCAGCCACGTACACCTAAGGTGGCGGGTTCGAATCCCCAGCCCGGACCCGCCAAACAACAATGATGGCTGCAACCAAAAAATAGCCAGGCGTTGTGGCAGGTGCCTGTGGTCCCAGCTACTTGGGAGGCAGAGGCAGGAGACTCGCTTGAGCCCAGGAGTTGGAGGTTGCTGTGAGCTGTAATGCCACAGCACTCTACCCAGGGGGACAGCTTGAGGCTCTGTCTCAAAAAAAAAAAAAAAAAAAGAAAATGACCTTGTGGAAAATGAACCTGTGGAAAATGACCTTGCACAGGTTAAACTTGAGGATGAAGAAAGTTAAAAAAACAGAAAGCAAAACAGGAAATTAGGACTGTTCTGCAGAAATCCCTATGATAGAAGATAACGCAGATTCAGGAGGAATACAGAGAAGGACAGGATTTGAACATGAAGGGTGTGCCCGGGGCCCTCCCAGACTTACAGGAAGAGGCAGATAAAAGAAGCAAGAAAAAGAAGCTATGATGAGAAGACAGACGATATAAATATTCGGCACAGAGATGTGAGGAAGAAAAAGCTCAGGAGAAAAAAAAAAGGACAGAATATTAGAGGAAGAGAATGAGAAGAAGTGAGCTGAGAAGGGGAAGGAGCCGAGATCCGAGAAGGAGGCAGGGCACAACTCACAGATGACGTCACGTGTACAAGAAAACTCCGGGAAAGTTGCAGCCCAAAGCTAAAGAACAGGAAGAACTTGCCGTGGAACAGGGACGCGCGAATGGTGATGGTAAAGAGCTTAACTGGGAAGAGAAGGAGAATTTTGCAAGATTGCAGGTTTTAGCCCACGAGTACAGGAAGCAACTTCAGACACAAACAGCCTACCAGCCGCAGGCCTGGGAAGCAGGGATAGGGAGGGGTAGGGAGGAGGAGAAACGCTGAGAGTTTGAAGCAGGGATAGCAGCAAATAAGATTTGCCTGGACGAGATCCCGCAGGTCCTCTCTACCCTTCAAGTGCTGCCCCAGAACATTCACCCCATGTGGGAAGCATGCCCTAACACGCTTCCACCCGAGCATTAATGTATCTTTTCTGGGTCTTCTAGTATCTTTAACCACAGTATGCTTGTACGTTCCTTTTAACTCATGGGTAAACTGTTCTTTGAGTTTGTATAATTAGTTGTACATAATTTTCTTCCTTCAAATAAACTTGTTCCATTTGTGGATTTCATAGACCTACAAATCCAAAAAGAAAAATACAAAACAAACCAAAAAGCCATGGTACACAACACGTGTATGTATAATCTAGGTATATACAAGATAGAGAAGAGGTTTCCAAGAACTGAGCCCTAAAGCCCTCCGAGGGAAAGAGTTTGGGAAAAAGAGGATGAATCAGCCCGGAGACTGAGAAGAGTGGCTAGGGAGGTAGGAGGGAAGCCAGAGCTCTGGCACTCCAGTGAAGAAAGTCAGTCGAAGAGAATGTGTCAAATGCTCCTTAACATAAGTGAGTCTTTAACACCAGTCTCCCATGTAACCTTATCACGAAAATAATTTAATCTACCCTTTCTGTTTATAGGATGCATACTAATTTAGCCTTTTCTTCCTCCATTTATTTATTTATTTTTTCTTTCTCTTTTTTTGAGAAAGAATCTCACTATCTTGCCCAGCTTAGAGTGCCATGGCATCAGCCTAGCTTATAGTAACCTCAAACTCTTGGGTTCAAGAGATCATCTTGCCTCAGTAAGGGGACTACAAATAGCTGGGACTACAGGTGCCTGGCACCACGCCCAGCTAATTTTAGTAGAGATGAGTCTTGCTTTTGCTCAGACTGGTCGTAAACTCCTGAGCTCACCTGACCCTCCTGCCTTAGCCTCCCAGAGTGCTAGGATTACAGGTGTGAGTCACCGTGCCTGGCCTTCCTCTAATTTAGAATAAAGTTTCTGAAACTTATGCTCCATGGAATACCATTATTACCCTAAATGTTAACAATTCTTTCTTGGGTACTGGGGAGGAGGTTGTTTTTCAAATAGATTTAGGAACTTCTATATATGTATGTATATATGTGTGTGATTGTGTCTGTGTAGATAGATAGATAGACTATTCTTTTGTCTTTTGGTAATTCACATTGTGTATTGGTCTGTTAAAGACTCTAAGAGGTCCTAAAATGAAAAAAAAAAAATTCTCCCCTTCATCTAACCCAGAGGATTCTAAGCTTATTTAACCTCAGCCCTTCCCCCTCTATTTTCCCCTATGAACATCAATAACCATCTTAGGTATACTAGTGTTTTGTAGAATATAGATTAAGAAATGGTTATAAGGCTGGGTGCAGTGGCTTATGACTGTAATCCTAGCACTCTGGGAGGATGAGGTGAGTGGATTACTTGAGCTTAGGAGTTTAAGACCAGCCTAAGCAAGAGTAAGACCCCTGTCTACCCCTGTCTAGCCAGGTGTTGTGGTGGCCATCTATAGATCCAGCTAGTAGGGAGGCTGAGGCAAGAGGATTGACTAAGCCCAACAGTTTGAGGTTGCTGTAAGCTATGATGCCATGGCACTCTACTGAGGAGTGACAAAATGAGACTCTGTCTCCAAAAAAAAAAAAAGGTGGTGCTGGTGGCTCAAAGGAGTAGGGTGTTGGCCCCATATACCGGAGGTGGTGGGTTCAAAGCCAGCCCCACCCAGAAAC